AGACCACCAGGGAAGGGAAGGGGATTGACGAGGACCTGGGGAGAGAGCAGGGGGATTAACGCCCCAGGTCATCCTGTCCTCGCCACAAGAAGGGTTTTGAGCTGAACAAACCTGGGGGTAGGACCCTGGCTGGTGACCACAATACAGCATTTTACTTGTAGAAATGATTGAAATATTTCTGGAAATTGCAGTATTCACATCTGAACATGAGTTTGCAGCCATAACAAATTTAAATTTAGTGTTAAGTCCACAGTTTAAATATCTGAAGTAGAATTGTGAGGCCCATTCATACATGTAATTCAGTAATAACTTGAAGAACAATGTTTTAGAAGACCAGAATGAGAAATCTGATCTTACATACCCCCAAACCATTTTTTTGATGAGAAATGTATAATTGATAAGTTATCTGTGTCATAGAAAACTGCTCCTTCTTAAAATATGTGGTCAGAAGATAATGTGGAGATAGCTATGTCCTATTATTGATATAATGATGCTGCTACCAAGATGTGAACATAAATTAAATGTCATAACATAGTTTGAGATTAAATGAGAAAATGCAGAATAGTATTTTATGAAAGCTTTTATCTGATATGTTTGTGAAAAGAAAAGCAGGATTGAATTGGAAAATAATTTATTGAACAATTACCTTAGATTTCAACCTCAGTTCTGTAGAGGTTTTATGATACATTTGATTCTATTCAGAATTTGTTCCTTTGGTGAGTCCCTGCAGTCCCTGAATATAGGAAGCGAGGAGGCCGTGATTATGGGCGAATGCATGGAATAGGGGAGTCAGGCCATAAATTAGATTTATAATGAGCCTTGGGGCAGCTTACGATCCATACCTGCTTGTGGGTCCTTGACTTTAAGGGGTATGTATTAGGAGAGGAATGAAACAGCGGACTGTTTTGGTTGCATTAGAAATGCTTTTTGATGGCATTAGTTTGTCTAGATATCAGTTAACAGAGCACTATGAAAATGCTACCTAGAACCTTAAATTAAAGTGATCAGCTCTGGATTGACTCTGGGGTCATAAAATAATTAGGACGCAGGAGGCAGAATAAGTTCAGCCAGGCTGCTGTGTGAAAAGTTCCATTAGAAGCTGCAGAAGTTTTCCCATTTACTTTTTATCATCCAGTAAGTTTTATAAATCTTGGTTTGAAAATTAAAGTTCCTATATATGCTAATGTTAAGATGTTAGGGGCTTCATAATTATATAATGGTCATTTATAAATGTGTGGAAGCACAAATTGGCTGAGCCTTTTCTCTCAACTTTAGCACACTGAAGTCCTTGGTGTTTGAATGAGGTGTTTTTTTTGTTTTGTTTTGTTTTGTTTTGTTTTGAGACGGAGTCTCGCTCTGTCGCCCAGGCTGGAGTGCAGTGGCCAGATCTCAGCTCACTGCAAGCTCCGCCTCCTGGGTTTCAGCCTCCTGAGTAGCTGGGACTACAGGCACCCGCCACCTCGCCCGGCTAGTTTTTTTGTATTTTTTAGTAGAGACGGGGTTTCACCATGTTAGCCCATGTTGGGATGGTCTCGATCTCCTGACCTCGTGATCCGCCCGTCTCGGCCTCCCAAAGTGCTGGGATTACAGGCTTGAGCCACCGCGCCCGGCCATGAGGTGGTTTTAAAACAACAATTTTTCATGGAGAGAACTAACCACCGTGGTAGTTTTGTTAAATCTGATGGTCTATAAGGTGCTTTCCACAGTGATTGTCCTTGACTCCTGTCGAGGCAACTTGGACTCCACGGTAACAAGGAACCATAGGTGGGCTGACTTGGGCAGCAGGGACTCCCTTCTCACCGTTCTGGGAGGTGGAAGTCCAACACCAAGGTGCTGTGGGTTTGGTTACTGGCAAGGGCCGGCTTCCTGGTTTGCAGGTGGCAGCCTTATAGGTGTGTCCTCACATGGTAGAGACAGTGAGATGGGGGTGGGGAGAGAAAGAACAAGAGAGAGAGAGAAAAAGAGGAAAAAGAAAGAGAGAGAGCGCGCTGTATCTGCTGTCTTTTCCTGTTCCTTTAAGGACACCAATCCTATCAGATAGGGCCCCCTTGAATGACCTCATCTGACCTTAGTTACTTCCTACAGGCTCTACCTCCAGTGCAGTCACACTGGGGGTCAGGACTTCAACATGGATTTTAGGGGGACAGGGTCCCATTCCCAGCACTTCCTGTTAGGGCTCACAGTACAGCTCTCACTTTCCAGATGCAGAAACTTGATTTTAGAGAGATTTAGAGACCTAAATACCTAAATGGCTGGTTCAAACGTACACAGAAAGGAACATTTCAGGAGACTGCACAAAGCTGATATGAAATGAATATTATTTCGGCTTAGCTAAAATCGTAAAGAACAAGCTCAAGTTCTAGTAAACAAATGTTTATGTTGGTTGTTCAAGTTGTAATTTTTTCTTGCCTATCTTCTTATTAGTCCAGATTTTACCACAGGTGATCAGTTTCTTGATGTTTCCTTTGAAATATCAAGGATATTTTAGGATATTTCAGGATATCTTCCTGACATGTATAAGTGAGTCAAATGACAGCTTTAAAATGTCATTCTTTGGCAGTCTGTCGAGGCAGAAACTAACTTGTTTCTTCTCAAAATGTGTTTTCTCTCATCTTGTACTTGCTTGCTTGCTTGCATGAGTTTCAAATACTTACATTAACAGCTAAAATTTTAAAATGTTGTAGAGCATTTTCAGAAATTCCATACAGAGAGGCCTCCAGTTACTATGACATAGATAATTCAATGTGCTCATCTTCCGTAGACAGAAAAGTTCTTAGAAGCGTGAGGCTGTTTGCTGTGTCACACAGAGGAGCAGCTAGTAGGTGGACGGACGCCTTTCTCCCCACTCCCTCACTGGGCCATGAACACTGCAGAATTTACCGTCTACTGAGGGAGGGAATGAACCCCCGCTGTGTTCTGCAGTTCACGCTCACCGCGAGATGCATTCTGGCCTGCAAAGTCGACGGTCCTCGTGTTGAAGAGGAAAACCGTGTACTTCCCACATGCAGGAGTAACTCCCTGTCCCTCCTCTGTAGAGGATACCCTTGGAAACGCACTGTCCACACAATGGCATTTATTTATTCAGCTTTATTGAGCTGTGACTAATAAAAATTATACGTGCTTAAGGTGTGCAGGGTATGTTCTCATGGGCATATAATGAAATGCACACTACAAGCAAGCTAATTAACACATATATCACCTCTTACGGTTACCTTTGTTTTTTGTGGTGAGGACACATAAGGTTTATTCTCTTAGCAGATTTCAGGGAAATACGGTATTATTAACCATAGTCACCATGCTTTCCATTGGAGCCGCAGAACTTGTTCACCTTACAGCTGAAACGTTGCACCCTTTGGCCTGCGTCTCCGCGCCGCCCCCCACCCCGAAACCCCTGGTAACCACGGTTCTACTCTCTGCCTCTGCGTTCAACATTCTTAGATTCCACGTGCAGGAGAGACCGTGTGGTATGTGTCTTTCTGTGCCTGGCTGATTCCACTCAGCCCAGTGACCTCCAGGCTCATCCGCGTTGTTCCAGATGGCAGGACTTCCCTCTTTATGGCTGAAGGATGCTCCATTCGGGGGATCCACTGTGTTTTCTTTGTTCTCGCATCTGCTGGTGGACACTTGGGTTGTATCCGTATCTTGGCTGTTGTCAGTAATGCTTTGATGGGATTTAAGAGCCCGTCTGTTACTCTGTCCACGGGTGCAGTGTGACTGGGAAGCATCTGTGGCGTTTCAGGTAAATACTGAGAATGCGGATGTGATAAGAGCCCACGGTATGGACGTCCCAGGGTGGCTCTGACTTTGCTGTTCACAGCATCTGGAACGCAGCCTACGACCAAGAAAAAGTCAACACGATCACTCTGTAGCAAGATCCCTGAAATACAGCTCTTTTTCTGTGTGTAAAATTATTTTTGTCAGTTAAAAATATATGCGCAAAAAAATTTAACGCAGGTATATTTGCTCTAATTTGTGGTTTCTTTCCTTTGAGTTTATAAAGTATTCCCCCTAAGAAGGACATTCCTGGGGTGTCTCAGGCTGTGGAAGTCCTCACAGCAGCCTTCCTGCATCTGCACCTGCACCGCTGTCCAGGGTGGGAGCTCCCAGGTGCCCCCTTCGGCATGAGCTCTGCCACCGTCTTACTTCTTCGTCCTTGCTTTGCACAACAGATTCCTTTCAGAGCCATTCAGCCTGAACATGCTCATGTTTCCACCTAGAACTCAAAGAATGTCTGTCACTTCTGTTTTTCCTGTAGTGTCTTTTTGAGGTAAAGGCACCCTTTGGCCACTGTCCATCTACTCCAGGCCACCTCGTGCACCCCTCAGAGCGCACCAGTCACCCGTGTCTACCTGAATTTGGCAACAGTCGCATTCATCAGATTAGCAAACACAGGTGCATGGCTTAGTGCGCAAGGGATTTGGAGATTTTTACCATTTCACTAGCCAGTTAAGGGCCTATTGTGCATTTAGCTTTTTATCACAACGTACCCTTAAATATCCCAGGCACCTGTGGTCAGAGGACGTGAAAAAATTGATCATTCTTAAATTAATATTGGTTGAAGATTGTCCTAAACACGGCTGACTTCAGCAGAGGTGCACAGTGAAGAGGGAGCCCGTCCTGGGGTTGGCGGGAAGAGTCCAGATTTAAAACAGGACTGAGTGCCCTGCCCCATTTCCCTTTCACCACCTTGGAGAAGGTGGGCCCCTCATTTCTTCACAGAGCTCCGTTCCTCACAAGCAGATTGCAGATGGGATGGCAGCTGTGCAGAGACTCTCCCTGCATTTCACGGGGCCCATTCTTTATCACCGTCTTTGTTTTCATACGTGCAATACCACACATTAAAGGTTTGAAATAGTGTCATTACTGTCATATTTAGCCAAGGTTGCTTTGGAAGTATAATTTAACAAGTATTTCTGTTTAAATGAAGAATTTCTTTTGAATTTACTTTCTGATAGTGCATTTTAACCTAAACTTGGTTTGTTTTCTGAACTTTTTTAAAGCACAGAACTGTTACGCTTCGCAGACAGGCAGTTAGCGGCCTGGGCCTGAGTATAAAGGTACGGGAAATGGTTTTCTTTATTCCTGCTTTTTATTTTTGAAGAACTTTTTAGTGTGAATCGTGATAACCGTGCTTCTCTCTGACGGCTTTGTCTTCCAGGGAGGTTCTGAGCACAACGTCCCCGTCGTCATATCAAAAATATTCAAAGACCAAGCAGGTAAAAACAGCCAAAATGACCTGTGTGTGCATCGCAGCCATTTGTGAGATAACAAACTACTGAAAATGGTAAAAATCAGCAGATGTGTGTTTTGCTCGATTACCTAAACTTCCGTTTTATTTTCGTAGCTGTGCCTTTTTCAAAGGATGCTTCTTATGCCCTCATCTGAGGCTGCCTTTTTTAACCTCTACTGACCCCTCTGGCCCTTAAGACAGACAGTAATTCTCTGTTTGATGTATCAGGTTGTCCTCTAAAGACATTGATGATTCAGGGGTTTGAACGTCGAGTTTAAGGTATGTTAAAAATTGAGGAGAATTAAATACAGATGGAGAAGTCCACAGTGGTCGTTGAAGTATCTGACAAGCGTAAGAACGTAACTTGCCTGTTGCAGGACTAGCTGAGTGCGCCAGGCGGGGCTGAAACCCGTCTGTTCTGCACTTGGCAGCTGGCGGTACTGCACTGACTGCTACCTCAGTTCATGAAATGAAGCACTGGCTATGGGAATAATCACAAGAATAACTGACATTCATAGGGAGAGATTACCCTGTGTGCAATTGAAAAGTGAGGGTGGGACTTCTGGCCACACATTCCACTATTGTGCAGATTGTTTCTCATACAATTCGATTTTGGACATAATGACCCCCCTGTGTTAAACTGCATGCATCTGTCTCCTTGTCAGGAGGATTTTGCGTCCCCACAGCTGGCCTCCTCCCACCTGGTCCAGCAGCTCCTGGGTGTGCAGCCTCAGGCCGCTCCTCCCCTATTCTCCAGAGCAAGGGGCACCTGGACATGTGCTGTGTGGGGGGGCGATTAGCTTATGTCCTTGAGGCCTGTGGGGGAACAGGAAGTAAGACAGAGTGGGCGAGGCGGGGTGGCCTTATGACCTCATGTGCCTCACACCAGAAAGCACAGCCACTGCAGGGGACCGCTGGCTGTGTCCCTGGAGGGGACATGCTTCTCTCCACACTCTACCAGAAATGTGGAGGTTTTGGGTGAAAAGCACAGAATAAGCTCATGCTTTTTCTCAAAACATTCTTACTCATTTCATCCAATTTTACCCAAACCATAAGCCCAGTATGCAGGTAGAGTGCCCCGAGGAGGACGGAGGTCCCAGATTGGGGAAGCCTTAACCACTAGCCCTCTGAAGGTGGGTGCGGTGAGGGCAGCGAGAGTCAGGTCGTCTGAAGGTGGGTGTGGCAGTGGTGATGGTCAGGTCCTCTGAAGGTGGGTGCGGTGAGGGCAGCGATGGTCAGGTCCTCTAAAGGTGGGTGTGGTGAGGACAGCGAGGGTCAGGTCCTCTGAAGGTGGCGCGGTGAGGGCACGATGGTCAGGACAGCGATGGTCAGGTCCTCTGAAGGTGGTGCGGTGAGGACAGCGATGGTCAGGTCCTCTGAAGGTGGTGCGGTGAGGGCACGATGGTCAGGTCCTCTGAAGGTGGGTACGGTGAGGGCAGCGATGGTCAGGTCCTCTGAAGGTGGTGCGGTGAGGGCACGATGGTCAGGTCCTCTGAAGGTGGTGCGGTGAGGGCACGATGGTCAGGTCCTCTGAAGGTGGGTGCGGTGAGGGCAGCGATGGTCAGGTCCTCTGAAGGTGGGTGTGGTGAGGACAGCGAGGGTCAGGTCCTCTGAAGGTGGTGCGGTGAGGGCACGGTGGTCAGGTCCTCTGAAGGTGGGTGCAGTGAGGGCAGTGATGGTCAGGTCCTCTGAAGGTGGTGCGGTGAGGGCAGCGATGGTCAGGTCCTCTGAAGGTGGTGTGGTGAGGGCACGATGGTCAGGACAGCGATGTGTGGTGCACGAGATCATGTTCTGCTGCGGAGATTGTCTCAGTGGGATGTGAATTCCCCACGGCAGCTCTGAACCTGTTCTCAGGGAAGAGAGGTTTCCACAGAATGATTCGCCATGAAGTTTGCATCCGGGTAAAGATTCTTTTTCACCAGAAGGACATTTAGGAGTCAGGTCAGCAGCACAGTTTTCTCCTTTGGAGCAAGCTTACAAACCTGCCTTCAAACTTGCAGCAGATGGCTTTCCATTTAATCAGGAATTAGGGGCCAGCAACCCCCAAAACCCAGCGGCGGCCTCGGCCTTGGAGGCAGCAGGGGCTGTTCGGAAGGAAACCTAGGAATTTCAGTGTTGCAAGAAATACAGTGTTAGTTATAACCAAGATGGCAGGAAAAGTGAGAGAGCTTTGCAGACCTCTGAATGAAAGGATAATTTTTTTTTTTTTTTTGGTTTGTTCCCCCACCCTCCCCACCCCCAGACGACGTCTCACTGAGATGCCCAGGCTGGAGTGCAATGGCGTGATCTCGGCTCACTGCAGCCTCCACCTCCCAGGTTCAAGCGATTCTCCTGCCCCAGCCTCCCGAGTAGCTGGGATTACAGGTGTCCGCCACCACGCCTGGCTAATTTTTGTATTTTTAGTAGAAGTGGGGGTCTCACCATGTTGGCCAGGCTGGTCTCGAACTCCTGACCTCAGGTGATCTGCCTGCCTCGGCCTCCCAAAGTGCTGGGATTACAGGCATGAGTCACTGCACCTGGCCTCTTTTTGAGGTTTTTAGAGCATTTCAAAAGAAACATTATGATTCATTTGAACTACAGTATTTTGTTGCATGTATTACATCAAGCGTTATAATTGTGTTGACCAGCTTTGCAGAGCTCAGTGCTTTGGCGCGTATGAAGTGTGATTCCACACGGAGCCGTGGGTCCACCGTTGCTGTGTCGGGTGCGGTTGGTTCCTGCTGCACCCCTGAAGCCATCTGGCTGACTGGTGGATAGTGGAAAGAAGGCATGGCCTGATGCAGCTCTGTTCCTCTCATCTTTGTGAACATTTTTAGTTATTTTCATTAGTGGGGTTTTACTTTTTAATTGATGGATATGATGAAAAGTCCCAGAAAAGAGAATAAGACAGTAAGGTTAGTCAACAGGTAACATTCAGTAAAGGATGTTTATGGTTAATTCAGAAAGAAAATCTATTTTTCCTGTAGGGGGAGAAACAGGTCAAGAAGGCCACACTCCCTAAAGTGTGCGTGCGACCCTGGGGTTGTAGCCCGTGTGCCCTCCCAAGCCAGCATCCCTGCCTCAAGCAGCCAAGGCTTGTGGGTGTGGTCAGGAGAAACTGGGACCCGGGAGATCCCGTCTTACCAGTCCGCAGACCATGCTATGCACTTCTCTTCTGACATTGGAAGTTTCACAAGTAACTCCAGTGGGGAGCCCCAGTGGGAGGTCCCCACGCTCCTCCCGGGCCTGCTTCCAGGCTTGTGTTCCATACCCCCTGCAGATTTCCCACCCAGAGCCTTGCCTGCCTGTCCCTGCTGCCCCCTCGTCCTGCCAGCTCGCCTGTCTCCATCCTCACCACCCCTCCAGGCCCAGGCCTGAGACCTCAGCAGCACTTGGAGATGAAGTTACATGGTTCCTCCCTGCACCTGCCTCTCCCCACCAGGATCCATTTGATCCGCTGTGCCAGAGTTCGTGTTTTGGAGACACATTTATATCTTCATTGTATGCACAGTCAGTAACAGAAAGTCCTGGCGATGAATTGTGAGTTTAAGGGATCAGGGGCTTTGTCTCATTTATTTTATGTCTTCCGTGTAAACCACAGAACGAGTGTTTTACAGGCGAGCAGAGCTCCTGGGTTGTCCTGAATATCTTGTATTAAACTGACACAGGAGTCTGGCCTCAGGATGAAGGGAGTGCAGGAGGCTCTGTGGACTTCGGTGCTGGAGCCCAGGAGCGCATACCCTCTACCCCACAGAGCAGAGCCCAGGAGCGCATACCCTCTACCCCACAGAGCACGGAGTCGCCAGATAGGTCGGGAGGCAGACAGACCAAACACGGGGTGATTAGTTAGAACTAGGAATACCTACGGATGCTAAGAGAAACTGTCTGCATTCCTCCACGTTTTAGATCCTCTTCTGGATGAGCAGGTATGCAGTTATCCCCAGGTGATGAAAGGCCAGGACAGGTGGGAAGGCTCTCCAGCTCTCATTCTCCAGGGACGCCAGAGCAGCCAGGTAGCCCGAGGCTTCACCTCGCTCATTTTTAAGAATGAGGCAGTTGTGAGATGTTAGGTCAGCACAAAATATAAAATTATTAGTTTGCTTGTTTATCCATGAATTTATCCAATCCTATTTAATAAACAACTTCTATGGATAAGACGCTTCTCGGGCCATCAGCAGAGACCAAGGCAGAATTCTCGCCGTTGCAGAGCTTGTAGACAACTGGAGAAGGCTGGCAGTGAACACACGTGCGATACATTTGCAGAAATGACGGCTCCTGTGGAGTGAGCGAAACCGTGGTACGGAGGAGACGGGTAGAGGGCGCTGTTTTTTGTAATGTGGTTGATGATTTTATCCTGTGAGTAAGAGAGAGTCAGCTGAAGTTTGTTTAAAATAGAGTGATTAGGGTAGCTTCTCATTTAAGAAAAGTCCCCCTGGCTGTTGTGAGGAAGCTGCTCCAGGAAGCAGGGAGGAAGGTGGAGAGCCAGTGCAGGGTGTAGGAGGGGCCGCCGTCCCTGCCCTTCTGGGATGTTGGTGAATCTGTAGATAAGTGGCCAGAAGCTGGATGTCCTCGGAGGCTCCATGTCACATGCTGCTGAAGGGTGGGCTGTGTGTCTGAGAGGAAGGAGGACTCAGGCCAGGTTGAGGTTTCCTTTTAGCCTCAGCACCAGGTGGGCCGATGGTGCATTTAGTGAAATGGCCCGCACAGGTCCTGGGGTGTTGAGTGAATGTCGGAAGCAGAGCATGGACAGCAGGGGATCCGTGCTGCGTTTCAGGGCTGATTTGCTGGCCAGCGGAGTGTACCTGTGAGGCTCAGAGGACAATATCAGGGTAAGACACTTTTTAAAGAGAGGCATTTAAATTAAATGAATGGCACTGAGGTGGTTCCCCAGAGACTTACTGTAGGTGGAGTGGAGAAGGCTCCTGAGGCCTGAGTTAGGAGTATGGACATCCCGAGGTTGGACGGTTGCCTGATGTCAGAGTGGAGCCAGGCAGCCCGGCTCAGTTC